GATTTTCATTTTCTCAATGTCTTAATTTTCTATGCAATTGTTGTTGAATTGTTACTGTCCTAAAAAAAAGCCATGTATTTGATAGATTTCCCAAAGACTTCAAAGAGGGCTTTAAATGCTTGAGAAATATGTTTCTAAATATTTCAATCTGACTTTTCCCCCTGCATTTCTTTCCAAATTGCTACTTAATAGGGAACAATTATCTGCCAGATGGGACTCCAGAAAATTACTGTCTTAATTTCAAATCTTAAACTGATTCAGACCCTCATAATTTTTGCACCACTTAAAGTCATCTGATGTTCCAGTTTATCTGCAATTCTGAGTGTTTGTTATTTATGTTCCATATTCCTGTGCAATAGGAAGAGATGCTGATGTTGGGTCTAGATGGGCTGAATTGCAAATTCCTCATCGTTTACATTGCAGTGGTTTCTTACCTGTAAGAGTAAGGCAACACTCTGCTGTCACACATGGAAGGTTATAATTCTTTATTCATCTCAGTTCAGAATGAACAATCCACCTTTTTGTACGTTTGCCATAAGATTGACATCTGTACCTTTAATATCTGCTCCTTTATAAGTGCAGTGGGTGGCAGCTGATAGTGATTTGTTAAACTGCCTGTCAGTGTCTAACCCACTCTGGGCTGTTTAAGGTTTGTTTAGCCATTTTTATTGTTTCTGGGGTGCAGAAAAATATGACTTAGCCCCCGATCCACATTGCAGTAAATTTCAAATGAAGGTGCTGATGCTGTGAAAGATGATATCAGCTGCAAAACGAGTGGTTATCTGGGGAATGGTGGTTTGAGTTCCTTGTCAATAACTCCCATAAAATAGCAAAATGGAGTAGAAAGTTCTACAATGACTGTCACAAAAATGACTAATGATTTATGTGTTTGCAATAGCCCAGAAATCCACAGATATGCTGTTGGAATCCTCAGCTGTTCCAGGATTGAGCTGCCATGAGTTTGGTGATGCTGAGCAGCACCTGAAGCACAGGTGGTGTGAGACCAACGGGGAGTGGAGGGACAGCTCAGTGTGAACAGTGATGGCCTGACTGGGACTCACAGATCTGTGTGTTTGAGTGTGTGTGTGTAATTCTGAAGTGATTCCCCCCCTGGATGTTCAGGTAAAGCCATATGTTAACCGACACAGGAGTGAGCACTTGTCACTCAAATCACCCTAACAGATGTCTTTTGAAGCAAATTGCTAGTTCAAAAACCTAAGTTCCACAACTGAAAAGGGGTTTCTGTCATTCACATTCCTACAACAACGTTGTTAACCTCCAATGTAATGAATTTTTTTTCTATCTGTAAAATATTTTTATATATTGCTTGTAATATGGTAGATTAGCAATAAATGAAAGGGCATCATCTGCTGCAAGAGTGTTTGGTCTGTTCTTAAACACCTTTATTGCCTTTGCTAAACTAATATCAAGGGGCTGAGTCACCCACTTGATAGTCTTCATGTCCTTGTCACCCTCCTAAATACTCACAAGTGGGATGTGCATAAGGATGTCAGAGTACAGAATATTTCTTCTTTAATGAGTTGCTCAATTCTCCTTTGCATCAAGATCCCACTCAGGTTCTGTAGATGAGATAGATCAAGTCATACAGGGACAATTTTATGAACTTCTTCATTTTCTCTTCTCGTCTATTTTCACTTCTTTTGATTTTCTATTCCCACCATCCCAATAAAAAGCCCCAAACAATCCACATAACGGGTACTGCAGACTTTCTACCTTAACAAAGAATTAATTTCTATCTGAGTAAATGTCCTTCTGCATCAGTGGATGCTTTTTCAGAGACTGGGGATGTACTCCATTTCATTGTTGTCCATCTAAACCCTAATCCTACATTTCTCTACTGGAGACACTAAAAGAGACATTTTCATACTGCTGTGCTGGAAGGGTGCCCAGAGCCCATTATGCCTCAGTAAGAGGCAAGTTTATCCAGTGTGCAATTAAAGACATTTACCTTAACAAAATCAATATTATCCTTTGCATTTAAAACCAGAGAATTCAAACCATATTTGATGCGTTTGCTGGACATGGAGCGAGCGCTTTGCTTTGCTTATTCACAAAAGCCTCGGAGCAGGCACCATGTGGAAGTTCTTAACTCCCAGAAACCCTGTACAAAGGCTGGGAAGCTCATAAACCAGACAGGCCTCGCCAACAAAGAAGCTGTTACTGGCTGGGAGAGAACATTTTATGATGAGCAAATATATGGCACACAGGATTTTAGCTTTATTCAGCAACAGGAAAGTTTAAGTAACTTAACCTGGAAATTCCACAGTTAAGGGCTGAGAACCCGAGCACCTGACCCGATCCTCTGGCTTTAATTTACGTCTTGGGTCGGAATTAAAAGACTACAACAGTACCCCAGGTTTTTCGTCTTAACGGGAAATTTCCTGGATTTTGTAGACTTAACTCCTTCCTTTGTAACCCTTCAACATAGCTGACTCTTTTCCCAGTTTTCAGGGTAGCAGCAAGGAAGAACAGTCCCTGTTTCTAATGAACATCTGGGGCTCGTATGAGCCCTCTCTCGCTCGCGTGCTCCGTTGTGTAAATATGCGATTTACAACTTCTTTTTCTTTTTTTGAATACAAATGTAATTTAGGCAATTTAAGAAGCTGCCTTTCAGCTTCATACCAGATTCTTTTCTAAATACATCATCACTGGCTTGCTCAGGTGGCCAAGCTCAACTGGGCTGCTGTAAGGGAGCTTCACAGGGAAGATGAGCTCCCACCCCACACCATCCTTGTCTTCCCTATCCCTGGACCTTAGCTGGACCATCTGCTCTTGTGAACTCATCATCTCAGTGAACCCATGTTACAGAGGGGTTTGAATTAGTTTTATTTAGGAAGGGAAGGCCATAGCACAGGATTTGGGCTCCTACTGACCTCAAGGGCAACGCTGCTGGCACAGCAAAATTGCTGAGACTGTGAGCAACCACTTATCCTAAAAACCCAGGGGAAGGAGGTGGTGGGAGAGGCTGGCAGGAGCTGCATGCAGACCAATGGGCCAAAGCCAGGCATTGGAGGTGGCTGCAGTACAAAGGCACCTCTTTATTCAGCAGACCACTGAAATTACAGCTGAAGTCAAGAGGGAGAGTTCAGAGGCAGCCCAGAGCTCGGAGGGCAGGCGCTAAAATAAAAACATTATCTGTTGCTCAGATATACACACAAACAGTAAAAGGATGTATTTTTCTGGGCTTTTGCAGTGTATTAGCTGCCTAACTGCCCATGAGAGCTCTGCTCTGCCCGGGGAGTTTGGATGGAATGGGCTCTCAGGCCGGGGATGGGCTGTGAGAGCAGCCAGCGTTCACTATACCAGCCTTGTTTTCCTCAGAAACCAAGCTGAAAGCACGGCAGCCCTTCCCAGCCAGCTGCATCAGTCATGCACAACTCTGAGATTTCATGCCATTAAAGAAGTTATTTCTAGGTGTTATTAACTGCTCTAAGGGCTGGGCTGTGCCTGGTAAGAAACCAGCAGTAAGAAAGTGCAGTTTAACTCCTTGTACCCCTGGGCTTGACCTGAAGGTTTAAGTTGGCCTGAGTGTATTTTTCATGGACCCTTTATTTAACCTTATTGAAATATGAGCAGTGTCACAAAAGCCTTCTCAGCTGCCTGCTTATATCAGCATGAGCAGACCACTGAAATCAAAGCCCAGCTGATGTTTAATTTCTAAGCTTTTTCATATTAGGCTTCACCAGAGGAAAAGTGGGGGAAGAGACCTTTCCCTTTTGAGTTAAGTCTCCAGTAACCAGTTCAATCAGGAGCACCTTTCTTTCCTTATTCTTTTTCCCAGTTCTAAGCTCAGTTCTATAAATCAGGATTCATTCTGGCTTCTATACAGGGCTCTTACAAGAAACCATATTGGCTTCATTTACCTTTAAAAAAGATCTTATAGCATAAGAAATAAATGGAAGGAATAAACGTAATTGAGCTGTGACCATGTATCTTACACTGGCAGCACTGTGTTAAGACTTGGGCTCTGATCAAAGGTCTTTTCCCACCTGAGTAATTTTATGATTTTCTAGGTTTTGGTGTGGGAATGGGCAGTGTAACACTTTGCCTCACAGCAGCACTGCTCCCTCTCAGCTGCAGGCTGGGGCCAAGTAAAGTTTATAGAAAACGTGCTCCTTATACTGCATGGAGGGTTGTGTCTTTTTTTGCTTTCCCTAGCAAGAAAAAAAGTCTGGGAAAAATGCAGGGAAGGTTTGCTGCTGCACAGGATATCAGTGCCATCTGCAGGGAGCCGAGCTCAGCGCTGGTCCTGCACCGCAGCCCCGGGCTGGGGACTCACCTGAGAGACCCCCAGAGGGAGCAGGAGAAGGGCTGGCCATGGAAAACCCTTCCCAGGGTGGCCAGCATTTGGGGAGAGGGAGGCAGGGTCCTGATGGTAGCGGCAGCAGGTGCTGCACCCTCTCACATCCCAGCCTCCCACCCAGCACCGTGTCACGGCTGAGCTGTGAGCAGGTGTCCCAGCCACTCTGATCCTCCCCACTCAGACAGCCACGGGCAGCTGGGGCACTGCCAGGCAAAGCTGTTACCCCCCAACACACACACATGCACTTTTCCAAAATCTTGGTTTTCCAGGCTTCCATGCAGTTTGGTTCACCCTGTGCTGCCTGGTTCCCTCCGAAGAAAGCAGGGAATTTTCTGGGCTGATCTCTGCTCCCGTGTCCCACACAGCAGGCAGGGGGTGATGGTCAGGGATGAGTTTTCTACTCCTCACAGCAGCTCTGTGCTTAAACAGTGTTTGCACAGCAGCTGCGATGACAACCAGGCACAAACCCAGTTATCAGAAGGCTGAGCCCACATCAATACCCACAGCCCTGCTCCCCAAAATTCATGAGGTTTGAGGTGGCTGCCAGCACCTCTTCCCGAGGAATGACCCCTGAGGGAGGCTGAGTGCTGCAGGTGAGGGCTGGCTCCCTGGAAGGTGAGCAGCCCCAAGTTCCATGGAATCATCTGGCACGGAAACCGCAGGTCACGTTGACATTGTTGCTGTTGGCACAGCATTCCTGCTGCTCTAGGAGGAGAAACACCAGCCTGTTTTTCATCTGTCCTTTGTTTCTGATTTATGGATCCCTCTAAAGCAGAAGTGAAAGGTATTCATTTACGTTATGTGGTAGAAAGTGGGACTTCAAGAATGGCCAAAATCCTGCTGCAAAGACAGCAAATTCCAGGTTTATTTCCACTTCAATAGGTAAAACATTTGCATACTAATCAGGAAGTCACTGAGTAGTTGTTATGAGCAGAAATTCAAGGTATATTTTCTACCCTGTAATAACATGAGTTTATTAATCACTGCTCAAACCCAGACCTGGCTGGTTTAGAGGCTGGAGTTGCCCTCTTTGTATATTGACATTATACCTGATCCATTTTGCTGCTTCCCTCGTTGTTCCCCTCTGGCTCTACCAATGGCACTGATGCCTCAGTAATCCCAGGCAGCAGGAACTGCAGGAGCCTTGGCAGCAGGGAGGAGTGACACCCAAAAAGAGGGAATCTTGGCATGGTGTGGCTGCAGGAGCCTCGCACCTGGCTGCAGATCCAGCTGAAAACCTGTTGGCACTGGAGGCAGATGGGATTTCATCCTCTTTAGGATCAGGGGCTGGGTCCAGCTGTGGGAAGGAGAGGGGTGGGCTGGGGTGAGATGACACAGCAGAGAGAACAGCAGAGCATTGCCTGTGCCACCAGGGCTCTGGCACAGGGACATCAGGAAACCTGCCATGCCTGGCTCTGTCCATGCCCAGTAGTGGCCCAAACTACCCCTAAGAAAGCCTCTGGCACAGAGCCATCCAGGTGCCAGACAAGCTTCTCTCTCTACCCTGGGACCCCTCCCCTGTACTGTCCTTACCTGGAGTGTTGTTTAAAGCCCAGTTCATTCACCTGTCCCATTTTTTTCCCACTCATCTCTGTGCAATTTTAAATATCCCCCTCCAAGATGTACAAACCCAGCTGACAGACAATAGCCCTCAGGGGAGGTGCTGCCCATCAGCAGACACAGAACCACCCACGGAGAGCACTGAGTTTTCCCAAATCTTCTTTTTCCCCCCTTAGCTGTTAAAAGAGAAGAGGGGGAAGAGGGAGAGTTCATACACAAAGTATATTTCTTGGTTGCTGAGAGACTTCAAATCTCCCTAATGAATAAACACAGTGCACTTAATTTTGTTTATGAAAACAGACTTATTGTGATGGCAAAAAGATGAGTCAGTGCCCTGGGTGAGGGGAGAGCAGCAGCTGGAGACACTCACCGAAAAGCAACGCCTCGGAAACCAGAGCAGCTCTCATGTCCAGCAGTGCCAAGAGATGCAATTTCTCCTCTAACAAGAACCACCAGGACACAGGGAGTGGGAGAAGGCTTCCTCATGACCTGGCAATTGGCTGCTGAGCGAGTATTGCCGTGAAAAGCAGAGGATTTGTGAACAAGCAGCGGACACGGCACATCCTGCTCCCACCCAGCCCATCCCGAGGATGCTCCTGGAGCTGGACTGAGCCTGGCCTGGGTCTGGGCTCCTGGGGAACAACTTCAGAGCTGCTGCTGGTCCCTCACAGCACAGAGGCACCAGGGAAGGTGTAGATTTGAGCCGCTCAAGCAGGAGGAATTGCTGACTCCAAGGAGCACATTCCCCATCCATCTCTGCATCCCCTCTGATGTTTTTGGCATTTATTTTGGGCAAATATGAGCAAAGTGGGATCTGAAGCTGTCCCTGTCACTTCCTGACCAGGTGAAGCCTCCTGAGGCTTCACATAAGCAGGTGCAGCATGAACATGATTTCCTTTAAATAATTTTACTGTCTATAAAAAAGTCACATCATTAGAGTGACTTCCCACGCATGTCCCATCTTCCCAAGATGTCCAAAACACACCCTGCCCTGTGCCTGTGAGGAGCCCTGAGTTGTCAAACACATTGTCCCCCTCCCTGCAGCATTGGGTGACATGTCACCTGGCCACCAGCACCCCTGCAGAGCCAGGTTGGTCAGATCTTCATCTGGTCCTCAGCACGTTGCTGGCACTTCATAAATAACTCCAGCCCTTCCTTCAGATCATGGGCCTGTTGTTTTCCCTCCTCGGTTTCACTGATGTAAATCTGCCACGTCTGCACGAGCTGTGCTGATGAATGACCCTGAATAAGGACCCACTCAGCCAACTCTCCCTGGACAGAGCCCCATTGTGTGCTGGGGGGTAACACACAGGGTTCTGTTCAAACAAAATCAGCCCAACACAAGTTCAGGACTTTTCCTTCCTTCCTTAAAAAAGAATTGAAAAAAAAAAGAAAAAAGAAACCCGTTTGCTGAAGGCCAAGCATGGAGGAAGGAAAGAAATTTCAATTAAAACCCTTAAAAGCCTAAAATTACTCAGTTTACATTGGTGCCTGGTTCAGATATGCAGGTGAATACACTGGACATAAGCACAAACCATATCAAGATGAAGGTTTTTAGGCACCATAAAGGTACCACCACTTCTGTGCATCACAGAATGACCCCTAAAAATGTCCCACAAAGACTGAAACGTGTAAAGATATAAAATTCTCTGTGTTCTACTTTCCACATAAGGCAGAGAAGAGCCTGTCCCTGCAGTTACAATCTCTGATGGCTAAAAGACAACAAACCAAAAAGAAATTATGGATTTTAGCACTGGGTTATCAATTATTAAGGGGCCTTTCAAGCTTTTGCCATGTAGCAGAAGAAATCAAGGGCTCCTGGAGGTTGGACTTTGCTCAACAAACACACAGTTGTTATTTTCAACTATTTAAACCCATTCTCTAACAAGCTAAACTATTGCATCAATGCTGGTAGAGAAAGGATGGGGCTCATGGATTTTCATCACTAAAACTTACACCTTTAGTAAAAAAATCACCAGCTACAGAAAATATACATAAAAGGATAATAACTCAGAGTGTGTAATACACACCCAGGCTGACCAAGGTGGATTTTTACACTGATTTTGCACTAGCACACATTAAAATACAGGTACAAAGCACCAAGGTGTGACTCTTAATGGTTCACAGTGCAACTGTTGTATTCTATTAGTTGGTTTTACCTTTTATGTTATTTCTTTGTCAGTGTGATTAATGTGCTCTCTGCCTCACCCAGCCAGTGCTCCCCACATTAAGAGGAAAGTGCTGTTTCAGAGGGTTATTAATTCAGCATTTTGCAACAGTAACTGTATGCCCAACTTTAAAAATTGTTTTCAAAGTGAGTTACATATCAAATGAAGCCTTGGATAAATAAAGGCCATCAAGCAATAAACTGTGTTAGTTACAGGCCAGTACTTTCTGTTACTGTAATTCACAGAAAAACTGTCATAAAAGAGTGAAAACTCTGTAATCCAAGACCTTTTACTCTTTTTTTTTCTCATACCAGACTTGTCCCCTAAAGCTTAAGATGGTTGAATCACAGATGGATCCTTTTCCAGTTCCTTTGAAGTTCCTGATTAAGCAGTGACTTTTCATGTATCTTCAACACAAAGCCAATTCCTCATCTGCCACAAGAGCATCAAATGGAAGAGGATGTGACACCAGCCCAAACAGAATGCCAGAAGCTTCCACAGAAAACTGTGGAAATTCCTCTTTGAATTCTCAGAAAAGTCAAACTTTTCAGGTTCCCTGGCTCCAGAGCATGAAGTGGAGGCACCATCTCCCTGCATCCCTGGTTCCATGAGAGCCCACTGGATTTGCCATTTTGCTGTGCTCTGTCTGCTCCTGCTATAGGAAGATCTTGGCCCTCCTTAAGTCATACACAAGAAATACAAAGAAATAATAGTGAATAATAATTTTCCCATAAGATCCATTTCAAATACTCTATATCCAAAATACTTATAATTCAGGGCAAAAAAAGAAAATCTATTAAAAACTAATTCTGTGGTACTAAAGTTGGCTCAAACCAGCCCCTTAAAAACAAACAAAAAAACCCCCTAAGCACTGTAGATTAGTTGGCTTTTCACCAACCAGCCCTGATTGAAAATCAAAGGCAGATGTGAGCAGAAAAGCAGCAATTTCAGCTCTCCCAGCAGCCGCCTGTTGTTGGCACAGGCCCGAAAAATATCATTTCAAACTGGTACCGGCTGGACCCGCTGCAGCCTTCGTGGCAATTACGTGGCCAGAGTGTTCCTGCTGTCCCTTCTCAGATAAACAGAGCTTTCTGCAACAGAGGGAGCAGGGATTAAGGCAAAGAAAAAGAGCTCAGATGGGAAAGCTTAGTTTCCTTACATCTAAGGGGTATGTGTGCAACTCAGCATGAGGAGTGAGAGCTTTAGCCAGGAAATCCATCTTTTGGCCAGTCCTTGAGAATGCCTGGATGGGGAGAGTCCTCTTGCACAGGGCAAAGGGGCTCCATCACCCCAAACTGTAACCACCATCCAGAGAACAGCAATAGGCTGGGGAAGGGGAAGACAAGAGACTGAACAGCTTTAAACTCCTTTAAAATAGAAATGAAGAAGAAAGAGAGAGTGTGATGATAAAAGATGTTTTGTGCTGCGCTGGCAGAGGAGCAGAATTGATGATGTGATGAGTCAGTTCCCTCTCCAGCATTAACAACCCTCAACATGCCTCTTCCAAAAGCAGCCTCTGTTCGGGGTCCCTGGCTCCAACATCAGCAACACTTTCCTTGGGACAAGGATCTGTCTGCTCTCAAACTTGACTCTTCTAAAACCACCACTGCACCAGGACAAATGATTTCAGGGCTGGAGGGGCTGCCTGTCTTCTGGGCAAGAGAGAACGTTTTGTATCAAAATACATTTCGTGTGAATGATCCTATTTATGGTACAAATTTCAGCCTATTCTAGCTTGCCATACCCAGAAATGCGAAGAGAATTAAACTTGAAGAAGTGAAAATCAGATCCACTTCCACATGCAGAACTGAACTTTGCAGGATTTTTTTCTTTTTTTATTTTTTTTAAGTTTATACCACTGGATATACTTCTCTGCACTCCCAAATATTCCCTCCCTTGTGCAGGATGCCTGCAGTGACTATCACACAAATGACACATTGTCTCTTGGCAAAAAAAAGATGTGCAAAATGAGACTTGACTCAGAGACCTGCTCACCAACAGCAACAAAAATTCCTCTCCAAGTGTCCTACAGAAGCAGAGTCAGAAGGTAACTCTCTTAATTATCTCTGAAGAGTGAGAACTTGGAATATCTCTGCAATACAGTGTACCAATGTGGTTTTTAAAAGAAAATAATTAAGTCTGTAATAATAGACAGCCTCAGAAGCATTCGTTTTTTCCCTTTTCTCTACAACAAAATAATCTGAGAACAGCAATGCCATTAAAATAGGGAAAGTGGAAATAAGATCCTTGAACTAGAAAACCATTCACCAATATGTCCAGGGATAAAATATCAGCTCTGCCTCATGACTCATCTCTGAATCTATCGCTATTTAAATACTCAAGTACTTTGAATTTTATGTGGTCATGATAAATAGCAACAGGCAATTGAATTCTCATCCTCAATGTGCAGTACTCAGTTAAGGAAAGCTCTCCACCTCACCATCTGCTTTCTCTTCCCCCTTTTTCTTATTTCTGCATCATCTTGGATTTCTGCTTCCTTTTTCTCCCGAGAGCACAGAACCCTAAAAAGCTCTCCCAACATCACAGAACCATCTTGAAAGAAATGTGGAATATTCCATGGTTTTTTACAGGAGCAGCTTTCATACTCTACACAGAAAAATGCTGTATATTTCCTATTAAAAAGTCTTTGAAGGTTTCTCCATATTGTTCTGTCATCAGGCCCAGCAAAAGAACAACGAAGACAGTACTAATTAATTGCTGTGTCACTCTGAAAACTAAGATTTTTGCCTGCTTTTGGTCGGTATCTCCTGGAGTATCTTCACACAGGACAACCACAGTTCCCTGGGGGCTCATGCCAGTGTCCTCTGCATCTGCCCAACAATTCTGTGTGCTTGAATGCCACCTTGGAACTTCCTCCCCACCCACAAAAGGTGAATAATATCTACCCAAAACACTGACAACTGTGGCTGTCCCCTTAATTCTGCACTTCGAGCCACCAGGCACCTTGTAAGTGATTTGTTCAGAAACTGCCCAGCTTGAAATCAGCTCCCCCTCAGCTCTGCAGGGCTGAGATGTCCCTGCCCAGGGTGGAGGAGCTGCTGGGCTGGGGACAGGCAGGGACAGCTTGGGAGGGCGATGGGAGCAGCACTGTCCAGGTGACCAGACATCCCTCTCTGTTCCCTTTGGCTCCATCTCACCTGCAGAGCACTGGAAGCAGGATTGGTCCACACTGGTCCTTCCCTCTGACCCATCCCTGAATCCTGACCTGGGACAAAGTGCCAGTGGCTCATGGGCAGCCCCTCAGATACTCAAAGGTTTAAACTATCATAGAAAGGACAATGTGGATTTCTAGTCCTATGGATTATGAGGGAAATCTCCTCCCTCTCAAGACAAGCCAAGAGGATTTGGTGTCAGAGGCTGCCAGCAGGCAGAGGCCATGTGTGATGAGCACAGGAACATGGGGACAAGCTCTGTGCATGCAGATTTAGGTCCATTTGGTTAGTTATTGGCCTGGTGCTAATCTGGGTCTGGTATACAAAGTGCTTCAATCCCAGTTTGGGATTCATACTGGAAAACAGAACCCCTGAATTCACAGCCCTGTTTTTGTCTCACTGGGGTGAGCCTGGGGCTGCACAAAGACACCCATTTTGCTCAAACCTTTCCCTCAAGACAGAGCTAGGGCTGGACTCCAGCCAGCAAGCTGCTCATGGGCAATCCAGGCTTGGAAATGGACTTGAACACACAGTCCATTAAAGGCATCAGCATTTCCCAGAAACTGGCTGCTGACCCCAAAACCTAAGGAACAACCATGATTTCAGAAGCAATAACTTCAGGACAGTCATCCAGATACTCCAGAGCTGGGTTTTCAGCCTTTCTCCTGTTGCCAGAAAGGGCTTTAGTGCTAAACCCAAAGCCTTCCAGCTCCTTTGTTGTGGAGCTCTGTCCTGCACTGGGACAGCCTGAGCCAAAAACCACTTGCCAGTTCCTCCTGCATGGCTGGGACCCCACCCACGAGACTTTTCTGCAACACCCACCAGTTCTTACCTGTTTTTCTTAAGACTCAAGTACCCATCAAGCTCCACAGCTCTACCATTTATGTCCCATGTGTCAGAGTGTGCATCCATATGGAAGCACCTGCAGTATTCCCAATACCAAGGTCACTGTGGAGAACGTGTGTGGGAATTTGGATCAGACAAGTGCTGTTTCAGCATTAGGCCTGACCAATCACAACCCCCCCGGTCACATCCCTACCTCCCAGAGGGATCCAACGTGCACATTGCTCCTTCTCTGCTCTCCAAGGGATTCGCCACATCTGCGATGCATTACAGCCTTCTCAAAGAAATGTTGTCTACATTAAGTAGAAGTATTTAATTAGCACTTCATTTGGAGCATGTGGTACAGCTCACAGTTCCATTTTGGGCCAGAGATGATTTTCAAGGGTGGGTGGAAAACAGCTGAGGATGCCAGGAGCCCAGTGCACTCCCAACAGGCACTCGCTGCTCCTCTCTGTTCTCACATCACTGCAGGCTCTGCAGGGAACTGCTGCTGGTTGTGGCCCCAGTGAACTGGAAACACAAAGCAAATACACAAAAAAACCTCACAGAATGAATATTACACGTCATGTGTCACCTCCATCCTCTTTGTCACCTGTGGCTGCTTGGGTGTGTGGGTCTGACAGGAGGGAGGTTGTTCCTCCTGCAGGTCTGGGGAGCTGGAAGCTCCTTCCCCGTCCACACCAGGCAGGGCCCTGTGCCTGGTGCTGCCTCGCCCCGGGGAAGCCCCGATGATTCAGACACCCCTGTGAGTCACCTCCCTCCCCAGGGAGGGGCTGCTGTGCTGCTGCCAAGGTTTGCACACCCCGGGCTGGGGACAGGGGTGTAGGGGTGGTGTCCCCCATCCCCAGCACTGCAGGAGCTCCCTCACCCAGGCACACAGGTTCCCTACTCCCTCTGGGATACCCACCCCTAATCCCACTCGTCCTAAATAGTTTTATAAACAAACGTCTCCAATATCATTTAATGGAACTTGCCCATGATTCAAGTGTCTGTGTTGGCCTAAATATTCCCCTTTGGAAGGAGAGCCAAAGCCTCAAATGTGAGCTTCTAGCCAAGGTTGAGAGCAAGTCAAAAGACATCTTACAGGCAGACAAGAGCAAAATCACTGCCCCAGAGCCACTGGAGAGGTCCAGCTCTGCATTTCACACTTCTCAAGCTGAAATCTTGACCTGGCCGGACTCAGATTTTTGCATCTGCTTGAACCCCAAACCCCAGATGCCTACTACCTTCTCAGTACCCACAAAAACCAACAAATAAACAAAAAAATTCCTTGGTACATGTAGCAAATATGCTGTAATATCATCAGAATAAATCTCTACCAGACTTGTTAAACATTACAGCAAAAGGACGAGACCAAGATGTTGTGGGTTCGTGTGGTTTTATACATAAATGCACACACATCTATCCACTCATGTAGATATATTAATATAGCTATTTGTGTGTATATATATGTGTGTATATATATGATAAAAACTCTTCCTTGGCAGTACCTAAAACTGCTGTTAAAATCAACATGGCCATGTGCTGTTAAAATCAACACACATAAAATCACTGATTGTCACTTTTCTAGTTTATGTGCAGTGTTTCCACAATTTTCTACACTGCAGCAATATCCTGCCCTATCTCTTTGCAAATGTTCTCACTGCTGCAAGTGACACAAGTGACACTAGTAATCTATTTTTCACA